AAAAAAAAAAGAGTTTAGGTAAGGAAGTCATTTAACTGTTTTAAATACAAAATGAGAAACAGCTCAGTAGGATTCATTCCAGTGCCAGGCAGAGGCTTAGGGAATTGGTACCATCCCACAGTCATTAGGATCTGCCCTAAAAACAGGAAAAGCTTTTGGGCTTGTATTCCGGCACAGAAAAAAAAATAAAATAAAAAGAGGAACTGGAAAGACCGTGCCCTATTCCACAGTGAGTTCCTAAGCATCAAATAGAGAGAAAAGTGAGCTAGATTTCTGGGGCCTGCAGCCAAGAAAACAAAGGGGAGCACAGGAGCCAGTCTGGGCTTGAAATAAGTACCTGCAGTTACGCAGCAGAGAGGGCCCTCTGAGTTCTTGACTAACATACATTCTCTTTTACTAGCAAGCGCTTCCAAATACAGTAAACAGAATATGGAGAAAGAACACTCTTTTAAACTGCCCTACATTAAAAAATGTCTTTAAGCCCATATAAATCCATGCACAACTCTAACTTCCAAAAAATGTAAACTAAATTATTCCCAATGATATATTCCACCTGTGAACCACCAATCACAGAGAACAAACTGTTATGTTCTAACTCTATAACGTAGCTAAACACAGGAAAAGAACAAAAAGTCCGTGAGAAAGAAGGTATATTGCATATTTTTCAAAACATTTTAAATAGAAGCTAATTTTAGAAATGCTGTCTGATTTTTTAAAATGTACACTAAGTTCCAAACAGAGAAAAAACAACTATTAAAAAAACATTAGGCTAGGGACAGAGGCTCACGCCTGTAATCCCAGCACTTTGAGAGGCCAAGGTGGGTGGATCACCTGAGGTCAGGAGTTCAAGACCAGCCTGGCCAATACGGTGAAACCCCATCTCTACTAAAAATACAAAATTAGCCAGGTGTGGTGGCGCACGCCTGTAATCCCAGCTACTCGGGAGGATGACGCAGGAGAATCACTTGAGCCTGGGAGGCAGAGGTTGCGGTGAGCTGAGATCGTGCCATTGCACTCTAGCCTGGGCAACAAGAATGAAATTCTGTCACAAAAAAAATAAAAAATAATAAAAATTAATGGGGACGATCCCATTATTATTTTCTTTAAATCTATGATAGGAAAGATTTGACTGGATATTCAATAATAAGAAAATGTTTTGTCCATTTTTAAAGACGTGATGATATTGTGGTTATGTTTAAAAAGAAGATCTTATCTTGACAAATATAAGGACAAAACTATTTAATATATGATGCTTAGGATTTGCTTTAAAATTATCCAGCAGGAGAGAGGGTTGGAGGTCAGAAAATATGTATGAGGATTATAAACAAGAGTGGTTACGTGTCGGTAACTGTTAAAACTGCAAGATGAACATTTATGAATTTATTATACTAGTCCTTTTTCTTGAATATGTTTAAAATTTTCCATTAAAAAAATAAATCAGGCCGGGAGTGGTGGCTCGTGTCTGTAACCCCCGCACTTTGCGAGGCCGAGGTGGGTGGATCACTTGAAGTTAAGAATTCGAGATTAGCCTGACCAACATGGTAAAACCCTGTCTCTACTAAAAATACAAAAATAAGCTGAGCATGGTGACGGTCACCTGTAATCCCAGCTACTTGGGAGACTGAGGCAGGAGAATCACTTGAACCTGGGAGGCAGAGGTTGCAGTGAGCCAACATCGTGCCACTGCACTCCAGCCTCGGTGACAGAGTGAGACTCCGTATCAAAAGAAAAAAAAAAAAAATCAAATGGTGTAAGACCTATTAAATGAAACAAAAGTAGAAACTCCTACAGTCTCCACTACTGCTGACTCATAAGCATAATTTCTACAAAGATAAAACAGGTAAAGCCGCCAGTTACTGATACTACAATGATATGCCCAACCTTTGTCAGCCTCAGAAGGTAAAACAGTGAGGTTTCACCAGGTTTTCTTCTACCCATCTGTCAAGGATGCACCAAGTCCCGCTAACAGAAAGCTCAGCACATGGTTTGAATTTCCCTGGATGACACACACTGGTATATAGAATGCTAAAAACATGAACATTCCTAGTCATTGCCAACACTTCCCTACACTCCTTCCTTGTGAACAAAGGTTACTTATTTGCAATTCAGACTCTGTTCTTGAGGCCTTGGGAAAAGTTACCTTCACAAAGCTGTTCACCGCCATGATGGCCATGTCTGGCTGACTCTTGGCATAGTTCATCAAGTAGAGATACACAAGCTTCTTTAGTTCCAGATTGTCAGTCTGCATACAGTTCACTACGTCTGGAAAGAGAGAACTGAGAAGAGAGGGCAAAAGAGAAAAGGAAAGTAAGCAGGTGTTGGTGCCAAGCTGTTGGACAGAATATGAATAGCCTTAACTAACAGAGTGACTGATGCAAGAACAAATGTCCCCACAGTGGTAACTGTCACAGAAATGAATTACTAAAGAAACTGGCTGGGCGCGGGGGCTCACACTTATAATCTCAGCACTTTGGGAGGCCAAGGCAGGCGGATCACCTGAGGTCGGGAGTTTGAGACCAGCCTGACCAACATGGAGAAACCCCATCTCTACTAAAAATACAAAAAATTAGCCAGGCATGATGCTGCATGCCTGTAATCCCAGCTACTCAGGAAGCTGAGACAGGAGAATCGCTTGAACCTGGGAGGCAGAGGTTGTAGTGAGCTGAGATTGCGCCATTGCACGCCATCCTGGGCAACAAGAGCGAGACTCCTGCATCTCAAAAAAAAAAAAAAAAACAGAAAAGAAAAGAAAAGAAAAGAAACTATAGACCAGGCATGGTAGCTCACGTCTGTAATCTCAGCACTTTGGGAGGCTGTAAGGATCACTTGAGACCAGGTGTTCAAGGCCAGCCTGGACAACATGGCGAGATCCTGTTTCCACAAAATTTTTTTTTAAAAAGCTGGGTATGATGGTGCACACCTGCAGTCTTAGCTACTCAGGAGGCTGAAGCAGGTAGATCGCTTGAGCCCAGAAGGTCGAGACGGCAGTGCGCCATGATCACATAACTGCACTCCAGCCTGGATGACAGAGTGAGACCTTGTCCCCAGCCAAAAAAAAAATAAGAAAAAAATTGTAGTGCTGTTCTCAACAAAGTCTCTATATAGTTTTAGAATAAGTTTTTTATTATGAAAAATGTTAATCTCAGTGCTGGGATTACATGCATAAGCCACTGTGCCCAGCTTCATCTATAATATTTTAATGTATATCTTAAGAATCCTTTTTTTTTTTAATTTTTGAGACAGAGTCTCACTCTGTCACATAGGCTGGAGTGCGGTGGCACGATCTTTGCTTGCTTCAACCTCCGCCTCCCAGGTTCAAGCAATTCTAATGCATCAGCCTCCTGAGTAGCTGAGATTACAGGTGTGCGCCACCACTCCCGGCTAATTTTTATATTTTTAGTAGAGGGGGTTTTTCACCATGTTAGCCAGGCTAGTCCCAAACTCCTGACCTCAGGTGATCCATCCACCTCGGCCTCCCAAAGTGCTGTGATTATAGATGTGAGCCACCATGCCCAGCCAAGTGTCTTTTTTTTTTTCCCCACTACCTTTATCACATCCAAAACAAAAACAAAAACAAAAACAAAAACAAAAAAGCCAGGCCCAGTGGCTCACATCTTTAATCCAAGCACTTTGGGAGGCCGTGATGGGAGGACTGCTTGAGCCTAGGAGTGTGAGATCAGCCTGGGCAACACAGTGAGACCTTGTCTGTATAAATAATTTTAAAAATTAGCCAGGCATGGTGGCGTGCGTCTGTGGTCCCAGCTACTCAGGAAGCTGAGGTGGGAGGATCACTTGAGCCTGGGATGCAGAGGCTGCAGTGAGCCATGATCATGCCACTGCACTCCAGCCTGAAGAACAGAGCGAGACCCCATCTCAAAAAAATAAATAAATAAATAAATAATAACAATAATTATTTTAAAATATTTATTTTATGTACAAAAAGGTAACATGGTTTCTCTCATTGGGTGGGTGCCTTAGATAATCCATTTATGGAAGATCACTTAGTCCAACTTAATGAAATCTATATCCTTCACGTACTGATGGAAACACTGGTGGCATATAACGAGGCTGAATTTCCAGATCAGACTGTGCCCAGTTTCAGCAGACACGACAACAGCAAGAACCCTGGCTGACTTTTCGTGGGTGGCTCTAGTAGAGCTGCTGATGAATCATCTTGCTTTCAGGAGTGCGAGAGGGCAAAAGGAATAATTCTTCATATCAATCTAGTACTGTTTCAAAGCACTTCAGTTACACTTTTTAATGTTCATATTCTTCCATTCTTGACCAGTGGGAACTTAGCTCCCGAATCCTTGTGGTATGACCTGGTATTTTCCACACTTTCCTTTATGACAAGATGCTCCATCCAGGCTCATTTTGTACATTTCTAATCCCAGACCTAGAATCAGTCATCCTCCAAGATGTCCTGATTCTCTTTTAGTAAATTATTTTTTTTAACATTACGTATTCAGACAAAAGAATATTTGAGAGTAATCAAATATAAAAAGAGTTTACACCTTTCCCAAGTTCTAGTTATTTCATGATTTACCATTCTCCTATAAGCCACAGGAAATAAATTTAAAGGAGCACCATTAGCTTGGAAGGGTTGAGCTTGTCAGATTCTAAAGTGTAAGCTGTATCTTTAAATATAGGATAAATATAACTTTACGGGAAGTTAGCAATTAATCTTCCCTACAATGCTTTATCAAAGTACCTTATAAATTTTTAATACTGCTAAACATCTTGCTACTAGCATAGAAGAAAGAAAAAACAAATGTAGGTATATTTCCACAAGGAAAGTAAGGGGAAAAAAGGGAATGAAATAGCTGGTCACATGGTATACATCCTATACACACAAAAGGGTACAGAAGTAGAAATTATTCACAGAAAGGAAGCTGGACTCAGGTCAAAGAATCCACCATATCTCCAGTGAACCAGTAACTTCTGTCCTAAAAAGCAAACTATACCACAGGGCGCGGTGGCTCAAGCCTGTAATCCCAGCACTTTGGGAGGCCGAGACGGGCGGATCACGAGGTCAGGAGATCGAGACCATCCTGGCTAACACGGTGAAACCCCGTCTCTACTAAAAAATACAAAAAACTAGCCGGGCAAGGTGGCGGGCGCCTGTAGTCCCAGCTACTCGGGAGGCTGAGGCAGGAGAATGGCGTAAACCCGGGAGGCGGAGCTTGCAGTGAGCTGAGATCCGGCCACTGCACTCCAGCCTGGGCGACACAGCGAGACTCCGTCTCAAAAAAAAAAAAAAAAAAAAGCAAACTATTTGTTTCACTTGTATGCATGGTACCTACCGTAGTTTCATGCACATGTAGATAATTTAGTAAATACTAAGAACCACTCTCCAAAAATGTGTTTTCTATTTCCTAGACTAGCTCATGCACAAAACAACCATAACCAGTAAATAAATGTGAAACATTAACCAATAATAAATTTAAGATCCTAAATAGTTTAATTCTAGCAATCTATACAAGGTCAAGAAGACTTAATAGCCAAAGATCACGCAAGAAGCAAAACGTGTTAAGTGCCAACCTATAAACTGGAAACCTGAACTTTCCAATATGGTGACCACTAGTCACATGAGGCTACTAAACACAATGTGGCGAGCGTGAACTGAGATGTGATGTAAATGTAAAACACACACTGGAGTTTGAACACTTAGTATGAAAAACAAAATGTAAAGTATCTCATTAATAATTTTTATGTTGATTACATGCTGAAAGGATATTTTAGATATACTGGGTCAAATAAAATGTATTACTAAAATTAATTCATCTGTTTCTTTTCACTTTTTCAAAATGGCTATTAGAAAATTTAAAATTACATATGTGGTTCACACTGTATTTCTGCTGGACAGTGCTGCACTTGAGGTTACTTGCAGGGAAGGCTGAAATATCACAATCTACAAATAGCTAATCTCCATTTTATTTCTTTGCACTATCTTTCTAGGCACAGCTCATATTTCATCTCCAAGAAGGGTTCTTCAACTATTCCTGTTAACCTGGATCTCTCTTTGGTAGAACTCATATTGCCTTTAAAATATATACTTTGGTGCCTAATTATATAAATACGTTTTATTTTTCCCTAATTTTTTAAGTTTTGGGTCTCATCAATTAGACAGTAAGTGTCATGAAGGCAAACAGACATCCACTAACCTTTCTTTTGAATAATGATAAGTGGTATAGTGCTAGGTACATAATAAAATCATCAGCAATAGTAGGCATACAAAAAAAAAAATCAAGAGTTTTAACTTTTCTGCAGGATACAGAAATAAGCTTGGCAAAACCACAGCAGCCCCTGTACAGAGTTATGACAATTTTTCAGGAGTCTGAGACCAGCCTGACCAACATGGAGAAACCCCATCTCTACTAAAAATACAAAATTAGCCAGGCGTGGTAGTGCATGCCTGTAATCTCAGCTACTCGGGAGGCAGAGGCAAGATAATGGCTTGAACCTGGGAGGCGGAGGTTGCAGTGAGCCAAGATCACGCCATTGTACTGCAGCCTGGGCAACAAGAATGAAACTCCATCCCCCCCCCAAAAAAAAGAGTTATGACAATTTTTACCATTCGTTTGTACTGATGCTTTCAATCCAGATTTATTCTTTGGCAAAAACAGCCCTTCAGTGACTAGACAGATCACGGATAGGCAACTACCACCTGTGGGCTAAATCTAGCCCAGTGCTGGATTTTTGTACAATCCATGAGCTAGAAGTGGTTTTTATAGATGAACTAAGTGTTCATCTATATGAATCTTGGCCGGGTATGGTGGCTCATGCCTGTAATCCTAACACTTTGGGTGGCCAAGGCAGGTGGATCACTTGGTGTCAGCCAGGAGTGATGGTAGGCACCTATACAGTACCAGCTACTCAGGAGGCTGAGGCAGGAGAATCCCTTGAACCCAGGAGGAAAGGCTGCAGTGGGCTGAGATTGCGCCGCTGCACTCCAGGCTGAGTGATGGAGCAAGACTCCATCTCAAAACAATAAATAAATAAAACAAATCCGATGATGAAAAATACTATGAATCCTAATTAAGCAAAATGTTATCATCCCCCAAAAAGAATCCCACTTAATAGTAGACCTATGGTACAAAACATTATACTTAACTATTATTTTACTTTGAATATCCTCAATAAAAAATTTGTGGAAATTTATCATCTCTCTTGTTACGTAAGTACCTACCTAACAAACTCAATTTTGCTTCTTTGCCTGCTAAGCAAAGAGTACTTTCTATGCCAGCCTGATGTACTTACTATTTTGTCCTTTACAAAAAAGTCTGCCAACTCCTTAGATAGATGGTCACAGGACAGCAATTTAAAAACCAAATGTGCTTTATGTGCTAACAAACAAAAGAAAAATAGCAAAAATTCACCTCAGAAGAGCAGCACCTGGATCAAGAGAAGATACAGAGTCATTTCCTAGGCTGCCATTTCTATCTGGGCTCCCTGTCTGGCTAGGGAAGCAGCCCTTACCTTTTCGGTCTCAGGGTTCCCTTATACTCTTAAAAATTCCTGAGATCCCAAAGAGTTTTTGTTCATGTGAGTTATATACCTATTGATATTTTACCATGTCAGGAATTAAAACTGGGAAATTTTTAAAAAATTAATCCATTAAAATAAGAATAAACCCATTTCATAACATTTTCAAGGTAAAATGTACTGTTTTTAAATTAATGAGATGGTAACACTGCTTTTTTTTTGCAACTCTCTTTAATATCTACTTTAAACAAAAATGGCTTTCTCATATGTTCCTGCATTCAACCTTTTGTAGAATGTTGTTTTGAAATATAAGAAAATCCAACTTCATACATGTATAAAACTTGGAAAAGGAAATAATATTTTAATAGCTTTTTCATATAACTAGATATTCTTTACTTTCTCTTTTTTTTTTTTGTTATAACTAGAAATTCTTGATGTTACACTGAAGCTAGACAAGCCGGGCACAGTGGCTCACACCTGTAATCCCAGCACTTTTGTGAGGCCAAAGCAGGTAGATCATGTGAGGTCAGGAGTTCGAGACCAGCCTGGCCAACATGGTGAAACCCCACCTCTACTAAAAATACAAAAATAAAGCCAGGTGGCAGTGGTGCACGCCTGTAATCCCAGCTACTGGGGAGGCTGAGGCAGGAGAATCACTTGAGCCTGGGAGGCAAAGGTTGCAGTGAGCCAAGATCACGTCACTGCACTCCAGTCTGGGTGACAGAGTAACACCTTGTCTCAAAAATAAATAAATAAATAAATAAATAAATAAATAAATAAATCTAGACAAATGGTGGTTTTCCTCTTTCTGAGTCCACACACTGTAGTTTCTTAAAAGTTAGTTGCAATATAGAATCTGAAACCATATCAATAAATTTTTTGTACTTGATTGTATTAAAATCCATTCATTTACATTCTATTTTGTTTTTTTGTTTTTTCGAGACAGAGTCTTACTCTGCTGCCCAGGCTGGAGTGCAGTGGCGCAGTACCGGCTCACTGCAACCTCTGCCTCCTGTGTTCAAGCGATTCTACTGCCTCAGCCTCTAGAGTAGCTGGGATTACAGGCACGTGCCACCATGCCCGGCTTTTCTGTATTTTTTTAGTACAGACAGAATTTCATCATGTTGGCCAGTCTGGTCTCGAATTCCTGACCTCAAGTGATCCACCTGCCTTGGCCTCCCAAAGTAATGGGATTACAACCGTGAGCCACCGCGCCTGGCCTACACTGTATTTTGAATAGATCTTTTATCCGTGCATGATTTTGTGATATACATAGGCTCTGGTCATTTGGAAAAATATTGGTTCACTGAGCTATGCTGACACATTTCATTATAAAACAGCAAATAATCACAATCATTAATTTCACCACCAATCTCCTCAGAAAAGTCTTTAAGCATTAGGAAGCTGTCAAGCTTATGATGGGAGATACAGGTTTTCCAAAATTCTAATTTTTACTTTAAAACCTGAAATGTATCTATTGTCAATTTTTTTCCCTTGAAGTAACAGGTTCACTTTGTTCATTTTTGATAAAATATCTTCCAAATACCAAAGTCTGATTAAATATAGTTTGTCTCTCAATCATTCTTTCACATAAAAATGGTGTTTGCAATTCAAACAACCCCACAAGGGCTTTTTTTCAAGTCGACCATCACACTGCTATGCAGCAGAAGAGCTTTATAGGTAATTCCTATTTCATCAAACAGAGTATTAAAAAGGTTCAAGTTTTAATAAAACAAATTTTTACTGCTCATGAAGGACATTCCTAAGTGAAACTGCTCTTTTTTAGCACACGGTGGTAAGGAATACGATGACTACCATTATGGTTGGCACCACTGCCTTGATTCATGCTGAGGCACCAGCAGTTTTACCCACCACTGCTTTGCACCATCACTGTAAACATCAAAATAGTGAAAAAGGCAAGTAACATCTAAGAATTATTATGAAAACACCTTTGACCTCATGGACCTCCTGAAAGGGTCCTAGGATAATCCTCAGGGGCCTGCATATAATCCTTACTTATTTCCAAATGGTCTTAATTACAGAAATAAGAAATAAGACTACATGGATTTGGTTAACATTGATTTTCATCTTGAATTCAGCAATTGAATGTACAGTTGTAAAGCTGAGGGCAGTGGCTTGAGCCAATTAAAGATCATGTGAACTTATGCTTCTCAGTATATTTTTATCATCTTCTAAAACTATCTCAGCCAAAACATTTGCAACTGTGCCAGCTCTCAGGAGGTGTTATGCTAGATGTGAATGCAAAAAAATCAAACTCGTTTCACTGTTCTAACACAAATACACACACACACCCCAAAACAAAAAAAAAACCCCACTTAAGTAGAGCATTAATACAAAAGCGACTGTACTTCCTGATGATGTTTTTAGTAGGACAAACCCATTCTTAGAGGTTCCATGATTATGATAGTTTTAAAGGAAAAGCAGTAAAGGCCATAAGATGGGGTATGGACCTCTAAAGTGATAAATAGTGATGACTCTTACCTAACATCCTTCCCCACAGTCATAGCAGCAATCACTTTCTTCACAGCCTCCTTTCTCTTTTCTTTTTTTTCATTGTTGAGCTCAGCTTTTAGTTCAAATATTTCTCCTGCAAGAGATGAGAACAAACTGGTGAGCTCCCAGGACCACAGATTTAGAGCAGAATACTGCACTATATAATAACCAATACTGGGATAGCAGAGCAGCAACTGAAATAAGATTTTAAAATTATAGAATACGTAAAATTCAAAGCCCTAGACTATTATCTGACTCACTGATAAGGAAGTCATCAGTAAGTTTTAAAAACCTTTTAAATTATGGCCAGAGAGGAAGGTGCAATCCAGATCTTTAAGAACCACAGGAGTGGGAAAAAGTAAATCTCATTATATCTAGCTACAGTGGGGAGATAACAGTATATGAAGGATGATCTTACATCAGAATGTTAAAGTCTGGAGAAGAACATAAATGTAGGTAGGGAGCAGGCATGTATTATCTCATTTACCCACACTCGGTTTTACAGATTAAGAAATGAGGCTCAAAGTTCACAGAGTGAGTGACAAACTTGGGCTAGCACTGTGTCTCCTGACTCTTGAATTCAAAGCTTCTCAACCCTGGCCACACACTCATATTACCTAAGAAATACTAAATATAACAAAGTACAGGCTCCACTCTGGGCCAAATAAATCATAAGGTCAAGGAGAACTCATATTTATACCTTTAAGAACTCCACCAAGTGACTCTAATGCACACCCAATATTGAGAATCACTATTTTAACCAGTACTTTAATAAATTAGTGGGCTTTAAGGCCCTTCCTATTCAATCAAACAAGAATAATCTTGAAACCAAGAATGGTATACAATGGAGTCAATTCCAAACGTGCAATCTTGAATGACTGCTTAGGCTCCGCACTGTAAAATGTCAGGGACTGTAACCACTATTTTAATGTCTGGTCTCCAGGCTCACCTATCTTCAAGATGCTGGACCCAAAATAAAAAAGAATGTAACAACCCTAATATTGTTTAAAAGAAATGGAAAAAAACCACTAAGCCCATGAAAAAGAGGTTGACTACTCACACCTCAACTTTCCATCTACATCCTCCAGCTCATCTACCATGCCTCAAAGACTTTCCTCCACCTTCAAGACTGTTCCTGTCGTTCCTTTCCACCAGATCTCATTCACCAGCACAGAAACAGTGGGGACAGTCTCCGCTTTCGGAGGTTGCTACTGCCACCTCAGTGGCCCCGGAACGGGGGGGGGGGGGCGCCCAGGGGTCCTTCGCCCTCGGCCATGGCCCCCGAAACGGGGTTTCGCTGCCACCCGTGTCTGAGCTGGACTGTGCGGGCGCCAGGCTCCTCCGAAAGGCGCACGAGACAGCCTTCTTCCTCTGGTTCCGCAATGGCCTCCTGGCATCGGGCATCGGGCATCGGGGTTATCTCCTTCATGCAGAGTGACACGGATGGCGAAGCAGCATATGGCTTCTTCCTGCTGTGCCGCCTGTGTGTGGTGTGGGGGCAGCCTCTCACGCGGTGGGCCTGGCGGCGCTGCGGTGACCCATGCAGCTGACGCTAGGGGGCGCAGCTGCAGGCGCCGTGTTCGCCGCCAGCCTGCTCCAGGTGTGCGCCGTGGGCTTCTACATGCGGCAGCTGGAGCTGCACGTGGAGCTAGTGCCCGAGGACGACGGGGCGGTCTCCGCGAAAGGCCCTGATGAGGCGGGCCGACTGCCACCAGAGTAAGCGACATGGCCGCGGGCCCTGGCAGGCTCTGGATGACGGCGCCTGAGGACTGCGACATTAAAACCTGACCTCCCCTCCTCCAAAAAAAAAAAAAAAAAAAAGAAAAGAAATAGTGGGGACAGAACACTACGTGATTTGCCGGAAACCCTTATGTGGAAAGGAAGAAATTAGTAAGACACATAAGTAGAACACTTTTTCGTTTCAATATTCATGGCCAATAAGGCAAAAAAAATTGTTCCAAAATTTCTATTTAATCAACTGCTACAAAAGTAGCATAGCAAGAAAAGCTGGGCCCTTTAAAGAGTCATTCTTCATAGGACCCTTCACCACGTCCCATCCTGCCAAATCCAGCTCTTAGTTCCTCTCATTCACTTCCGGGAACAGTAAAGGACAAACCGCAGGGTTTCAGAAAGTCTGAATTGTGAACAGCAGCAGGTGTTGTAGAATCAAAGCAGGATGTAACAGAAATTATTCCAATTCCAAAAGCATAAATTTAAAGAATATGTTTCAGTGGCGGTTCTGGTGGGTGTTGCAGGAAGCACAGGGAACACAATCTATCAATTTTTTTTTAAGTATGATGTTTATCAGCAGTGATTCAGTCTGCAGTCTCAAACTTTTACAAATGCCTGAATTAAAAAAAGGTCACCAGGACCCTTTTCAAGAGTAGGTTTGAAGACTTACGAGAGTATTAAAATTGTAACTATTTAATTGTAATTATATCCCTTTATAGAATTATAGACATTTGGTTCATCAAAGCATACAAAATGCTAACAGAAGAAATAAACATATTTCCAAAAGAAAATCAGAAAAAGCTGAGAATGAATGACAAGTGGCTAATGGTTTTTGTGAGGTGTAAGTAATAAAAATAAGGAGGAAAAAGTTGGGCAGGACCAAAGAAGGGTACTAAAAGAGGGAAAGTCATATATTCTACAACTTTATTAAATTCCTATCTTTCCTCCCTCCTCCTACCCCCAATCAAACCTACCAAGCACTGTTAGCAGCTAGCAGTAGTTCTCAATCATGGCTACACATTAAAACAATCTGAGGAGCTTTCTTTTTAATTTTTGTTTTCTTTTGAGACAGGGTCTCTCTCTGTTGCCCAGGCCAGGGTACAGTGGCACAGTCACAGTTCACTGCAGCCTCAACCTCCTGAGCTCAAGTGATCCTCCCATCTCAGCCTCCCAAAGAGCTGGGACTACAGGTGTGCACCACCATACAGGGCTAATTTTTTAATTTTTTTCATAGAGATAGGGTCTTACCATGTTGCCCAGGCTGGTCTCAAACTCCTGCACTCAAACAATCCTCCTGTCTTGGCCTCCCAACATACTGGGATTATAGGCATAAGCCACCATGCCTGGCCACGTGAAGAACCTTTAAAATCCCCACACCCAGACCATATCCAGGACAAATGAAATCAGGCTGAGGTTGAGACCCAGGCATCAATATTATTTCAAAGTTCCCTGCCTGAGCAATTCTAATGTGTTGCCAAGATTGAAAGCTATAGACAACAAGCTGATGTAATTAAGCAACTCACTGCAACAAGAGATAAAGAAGAATGGTAGTTGGTGTCATGTCTGGAATACTTTGGTAAATATAAGGACTCCTGAATACAAAAGCACAGAATTCTGATCCTAAGCAACAAATAAAGCAAGCTAAGCTACAGGCACAATAAGCTGAGATGGGCTAAAATGTTTGTCTTTGATGGGAAGACCCTCCACATTTCTAGAAATGATCTATTTTAATTAGGAACAATTTTACAAAAGATGAAAGGTTGGACTTTCCCCAGAAGAATCCTTTGTTCCTAGACCCAAACACATACATAAAAACAAGCATTATATTACTGATAACAAAGATGATGAGACTAATAAGTTCAAAGCCCCTCAAGTAATTCAGTCTATGACCTAAAAATCATAGATGGCTCTAGAGATTTCCTGTTTTAAATACACATCTAGACGAAGAACAAGGTAGATGTATATGGACGGATATGAAAATAACCCATTTCTATTTATTGTTTTGCACGATTGCTTTTTCATTAAAGATAAAAATTTTTTAAATCATATGTATTAATATATACACTTACATGCATGGAAAAAGACTTGAGGATATATACCAAGTTCCCTTGGGAATGGGAACAGGAAGGGAGAACTTTCATTTTTACCTTTTACATACATGTCTGTATTTCTTTAATTGTATTCTTTGTTATAAAATGTTTATTTCCAAGTAAAAATTATTTAATAAAAGAGAAAAAGTATGCTGCTTCTTTTGTCCTCCTCACACTTAACCAATCTTCAATGGATCAGTATTGATCTCAAACGGAAAAGAGGAGTCTCTTTCACTAAACAGAACCTTCAAGTCAAAATAATGTGCATCACAGCCCTATCTTTTAAAACCTACTCTTTAATAACTTGCTTGAATACATTCATCTGTAGAAGTAGTAGATGTCCAATGAGATTGTCAACATGTAGTATGTCTGAAGGAAGAGGTCAGGAACATTCTGCTTGGGGCAGTCTTACACTACAACTTTTGAAAATTTTCAAAGATTTGATTGTATTCTCATACTTACCTTTTTTATTGGTTGTGAAATACTTGGAGTCAGTCATGACTTTGGATCTTTAATGTGCACCTATAGCAAGAGAAAAGAATTCCTTCATTCAGGTTACAGATATCCAACAAGACATCCAATTAATTTTACAAACATCCAATTAATTTTAGGAACACTTATATTTAAGAATTTCTAAAAATGAGTAACATCTTCCTTTATCACCACCGTTGATGGTTCAAGGGATGCAGAGAAAACTAAGAATGTAACTCCTCAAGTTGCTAATAGGGGCAAAAATCTAAAGGCCAAATGTAATCGGGTAAAAATATGAACCTATTATGGTTTTGTGATTTTATCCACAGTAAATCCTCAAAGCTTTCAAGAGCTAAAGCTGGACCTTTTTATAAATATATCTGCAATTACTTTCCATTCAGGAAAATCTGGTAAATTCCTTGCCTCAAGCTGCAATCACTCCAAAGCATATATTCTGAAGCAGTGTAAGGTCAAAAGAAAAAACAATTTTTGCCAACCTACTACATGAAACTTTCAATAAAAAGAATCTCTTTCCGAAAACAAAAATTCGAAATTAGTAGGACAATATTCTTTCACAACAAACAGCTAGAGAGGCAACCATGACCTACACATGGAATTTTTTTTTTAAGTTTTAGTTTTGTAGGTATGTAGTAGGTGCATATATTTGTGGGGTACATGAGACATTTTGGTAACAGACAGACAATGCATAATAATTACATTAGGGTAAATAGGGTATCCAATACCTCAAGCATTTATCATTTCTTTGTATTATAAACAATTCAAGTATACCCTCTTAGTTATTTTTAAATGTACAGTAAATTATTGTTGACTGTAGTCACCTTTATCTGCTATCAAATACTAGATCTTATTCATTGTACCTAACTATATTTTTGGATTTAAACAAAAAAATGTGTCTTTCTTACTTCCAACAATCTAGATTTAGTCCAAGAGTATTCTCAAATAATGCCAGTTTATAGTTACAAACAAGGCAAAAGACTGAGATATCTGTTCAGACACAAGACTCAAACTGGTGTTGAAACAAAAGAACCTGGATCTCAACCTCAACCTTAACTCTTCCATCCCAGTTTCCAGAAGAAATAATCCAGATGACAAATGGCCCCAACTAACAAAAACGGCACAGTCTGGTCACATTTTTACTAAATAATAAGACCACGTTTTCTGATTTGAGAAACTATAAGACTTTGTCCAATGTACCTGACTTCTTTAAATATATTAAAATTTGGGGCTGGGCACAGTAGCTCATGCCTGTAATCCCAGCACTTTGGGAGGCCGAGGCGGGCGGATCACTTGAGGTCAGGAGTTCAAGATCAGCCTGGCCAACATGGTGAAACCCTGTCTCTGCTAAAAATACAAAAATTAGTCGGGTGTGGTGGCACACACCTGTAATCCCAGCTACTTGGGAGGCTGAGACAGGAGAATCGCTTGGACCTGGGAGACGGAGGTTGCAGTGAGCCGAGATCATGCCACTGCACTCCAGCCTGGGCAACAGAGCAAAACTCCATCTCAAATAAATAAACAAATAGAAATTTAGGCCAGGTGCAGTGGCTCATGCTATAATCCCAACACTTTGGGAAGCCAAGATAGGTGAATTGCTTGGGCACATGAGTTTGCAACCAAGCTGGGCAACATGATAAAACCCCATCTCTACTAAAAATACAAGAATTAGTCAGGCATGGTGGCATGTACCTGTTAGTCCCAGCTACTTGGGAGGCTGAGGCGGGTGGATCACTGGAGCCTAGGAGGTCAAGGCTATGGGGAGCTATGATCTCACCACTGCACTCCAACCTCCATGATAGAGTGAGACCCTGTCTCAAGGGGAAAAAATATATAAATATATATATTTTTTAATAATATTCCTTCTATACTCAAAAATGAGTATCTTTTTCCTTATCACCATCACTAATAATACTTATTACCAACTTCAGGACAAGACATCCTGGCACCTGCTCATTATTATCAGGTCAATATGACATAATATATTTGGCAAACAATAGTAAATATGTATCTAGGAGAAAAGACCTAAGCAGCAAACAAATCAATGTAATTAAAGGAAAGAAACAAAAGCCAGATAAACATAAAATAATGAAAAACTTCTGGTTCAAATCTGATCTCAAAAATGTGCTACTTGTACAATTTAATGGAAATTAGACTCATGTGCTATCTTTCCAACCAGCTAATTACTATTTATAGTCTTGATCCCAATAGCTCTTTAGATTGTACCAGAAATTCACAGAATGATCTTGTTAAAAGAAATGAGCTAGGACTCACAAATATCATTACAGAATATAGAAATTTCTCCTTTAATACTTGTTATAATTAAAAATTATACTGAGGCTTGCCTTATGCAATGTTTTTACAATGCCTTTCTAGCAAAAATTCAAAGAATGTTATAATCATTTAATCCATTCATAATGTAAACTAAATGTGAAGTGGGCAAATGAAGAAAGGAATTCTTCACATAAAAGACCTGGAATAAATCTGAAGTTATCTATGAATTTATATATACAAACAGAAAAACCAATAAACAGAAATGATTACTTGAGCCTCAAGGAAGGACTATAGCTCAAATCCATTACAATCTGTCTAGGATGTTTACTATGCTATGCTATGTCCTTTAAAACTTGTTTAAGATTTTAAAACAAAACCTCCTTAGAATTCGTCACCCAATTTCTTTGAAAAGGGTCTTATACACACACGCATTAAATTTTTTTTTGGCCAGGCGCGATGGCTCATGCCTGTAATCCCAAAACTTTGGGAGGACGAGGTGTGCAGATAGTTTGAGCTCAGGAGTTCGAGACCAGCCTGGGGAACATGGCGAAACCCCATCTCTAATAAAAATACAAAAATTAGCCGGGCATGGTGGCACATGCCTGTAGTCCCAGCTGGGACTCACTGCAACATCTGCCTTCTGGGCTCAAGTGATCCTCCCGCCTCAGCCTCCCGAGTAGCTGAGACTATATGTTGGGATCACCGTGCCCAACCCATTAAAATCTGTTTTTTTTTTTTTTTTTTTTTGTGATACAAAGTCTCACTGTGGCCCAGGCTCCAGTGCAGTGGTTCGATCTCAGCCTCCAGTGAAGTGGTTCGATCTGGGCTCACTGCAACCTCTGCCTCCTAGGTTCAAGCGATTCTTCTGCCTCAGCCTTCAGAGTAGCGGGGACTACAGGCACCCACTACCATGCCCGGCTAATTTTTGTATTTTAGTAGAGATGGGGTTTTCCTTGTTAGCCAGGCTCGTCTGGAACTCCTGACATCAAGTGATCCATCAACCTCGGCCTCCCAAAGTGCTCGGATTACAGGCATGAGTAAATTCTTTACAGGAATTTTCACTACATTCTATTAAACAATAAATTAACCTAAGTCTTAAGTCATGCCTTTAACAGCTCACATATTTCATTATCTGTAACAATTTCAATGTCAAGGAATATATTACTGTCCTGTTCACTGTGAGCATTAAGTGTTTTCATCTTAACTAGAAAATAATGCACCCACCCACAAAATTTCAGGGAAGAGAGGAGGGTCAAGCATCTTTAGAAGCCCATAACATAGATCCTAAATTAAGAGTCCCTGCTGCTCTAAAGAGAAGGGATATCACTGTAGTAAGCAACACTATTGTAAACAATATTCCCTATCCATATTGGCAGAGAAACATGGTGCCAAGCTGGTTCTTGCCTTAAGCCAAAAGAAACTCCAAGAAAAATGAAAATAGTCTAAATAAAAACAAATAGAAGACGTGATTGTTGCACAACACTGTCAGTGTACTAAATTCCACTGAACTGTATGCCTTAAGCTGGTTCATTTTATGGTACGTGAATTTCACCTCAAAAAAAAAATCACATATATATGATTAAGTGTATCTTTCATATAGTGAGTTCTTACCTCATATAATGAGAGACACATTTAATCACATGCTAGATATGGACACAGCCAGAGTCTCCAAAATACAGGATGGCAAAAACTGACATCTTCATTAGAAGTAACAGAAAAAGTACACAAAACAGAGCTCAAGAAAAAAAAAAAAACAAAAAAACTCAAATATTTGCTGAAGTGCCTCAAAAATCAAGCTGCTCCTTTGGGGGAGAAAATGTTCCTTCAGAAGAGCCAGAGAAATAAGCAAAGCCATGACGGAATTTGAACTCACACTACCTTTCTACCAGATCAAACCAGACAAGTCACGGCTGTTCTGAGGATTTATGATATGGCCTAAGGCCATTGTTAAACAACAAAGCTGCCAGAGTCAAAGCACATAATCACTCTTACTTGCCCTGACCAGAGTGTGATGTCACTGCATTTCGGAGTAGCCCTCCCTGCACAGGATTACATATCCAGATTTAACATAACCTAGTTTCTACGAAATATAGGTTGTCAAAGTCCCTCCTCTCCTATACCTCCCTCCAGTTCCCTAAAAGAAAAATTGAGCAGCAAAATAAGATTAATACCTTGGGTAGAATAAGGTCAAAAAAAATTAATAGGATCTTAATTCAAATGGTTCTCTGGGAAGCTAAATTCGTTCGTAAAGTCCCTAAACCCTTCTTTTCACAAAGTTGGACTTTACAAAGCTCAGTGCTCATAGTAAAAAACAGAACAAAGTTAACCAAATTATAAAGCAGAAATGTCATTCCAGTAATCTTTTATTGTAAGGGTGAGAGGTGCCAAATTCATTTCTAATCAAATATTCAGTAATAATGCAAAGACAATAGCATCATCAGGTATTATTTTTCTCATAAGAAATTATGACACAAAAGCTAAAATCACCTGTGATTTCTACTTAAACAGACTACAAAGTAGTTTCTTAATATTATATAGAAGCAAAGGAGTTCAAAAGTTTTACGTCTAATTCTTAACCAAAATAACATTAAACTCTGGAAAACTTAAGCCTGGAAGGAAAGAAAGGACAAGAGAAAGGAGAAGGTGCCCTATTTAATATATTCCTTGCTCAGCTTGGTTCAAACCTGTGTTAGTACTTCAAAATATGGATCTTTTAAGGACGGAAAGAATGAAAGAACTGGACTTCCTTCAGTTTCTTCATATACAGTCAGAATATTAGATTTATATTGATTTTACCACCCAGCTTTTAGTGAGGATGCTTGCATTATACATCACCCTTTCTGCTTCCTTGAAAGTTTCAACGGTTAAGATACCTGCAAACAGTTCTCACCTTACCAGCACGCTTAGTCATCACTGGAATGTGTTACACGTTTTCTTATAGAGCTGCACCTCCTTCATCTGCTACTTTCTATTATTACTTTGTAAGTGTACCCTGAGGCTAAGCAATTCAAGTATACAAGGAAGGTAATTAATAATTTAAATTGATTCTCATTGAGACCACCTTCTTTCTTAGTCATTCTGCCTTTGTAAGTTTAATGCATTTTCTTTTAAACCACAATGGTTATGATAAGTCTTTGGCAGTTTTCAAAACATTTTTTCTTTTCAAAAGTCAAGTTTGGCTGGGCGCTCTGGCTCACGCCTGTAATCACAGCACTTTGGGAGGCCGAATAGGGAGGATCGCTTGAGCCCAGGAGTTCTAGACTAGACTGGGCAACACAGTAAGACCCTGTCACTAAAAATATAAAAATAAAATAAAAGTCAAACGTTTAATGAAGTATCCGCGTGAGTTCAATAAAAGCCTGTCTCCCCCACCCCACCCCTCCAACAGAAGACTGCTCTTGAAAATAAGCAGCATGAACAAATTATTTGGATTCAAATGATAAGGAAATAACAGTAAGTTCCAGTTTCTTTACTTTCAGCTTAATCGACAGCCTTTCCCAAACAAGACCATTTCCGCAGAGCAAAAAAAAAAAAAAAAAAAAAAAAAAAAGGTGGGTTAAGATTTACCCCCATTTGCTTCCCCCTCTCTTACATCGGGTCAATTTTGGAGGTTACTCTTCCTCCAAGAGTCAGGAATGCCTCTTCTTTCCCCAGGTGGTCAAGATTCTAGCGATATGCTCCTCCATTACGGAGCAGGGAAGAGGTTGTCTCTCACCCTCAAGTTACTGGACAGACGACGTTCGCCCATCAATGGGCAAACCTTTGAGGTTTTTCCCTTTCGCTTTTGCTGGACACGTCTCAGACTCTTAGTGACTCTTAGTGAACGACGCCGAGCGGGGAAGAAAGACGGTTCCCCCCACGGCCTCCAGGCTCTAACAGCCACACCCCTGGCCTCTGGTCCTCCTAAACCCCCAATTCCGAAGCACATCTTACCCTCATGCCCCCAACTACTTGCTGCCACACCCGAGGATTCCCTCACCGCACCACAGTCATCATGGTGGAGACCCTTTCTCCAACCTTTTTCCTCTCACTGGTTACACCCGACGGTTCCCTGTATCCTCAACGGTCACGCTCTTAGGATTTCCTCGCTTCCGCCGGTCCTCGACCCAGCCTGGGGTTCCCCTTCTTTTCGTCCCCCACCCCGTCAATTAGGGCCACACCCCAAAGGCAGCCTCCCTGAACTCACCGGAGGCGGAGGCGAAGTCGAGGGCGGGGGTGGCGGCGGCAGCCGGAGAGCACAGCCCGGGTGGTGGTGTAATGGTTTCCTGCCCGTCACGATTCTTTTCTAGGTCTAAGCCACTGCGCAAAACCCACTTTGCCAGGGACAAAGATGGTGGGCAGGAAACTCTGACGTCAGAGAACCTCGCCGCGTGACGTCATCGGGGTGCGCGGGAGACCTAGCAAGGCGGTGATCTCTGTCGCCTTCCAGACCCAAACATTTCCCTTGGTCCCAGCAAAGCTGTCCCATCTGGGCCTCAGAGGATGTTAAGTGGCTACTCCAAAGGAATATATTTAAAAAGCTGACAATGGATGTGTTACCTCGCACAGAAATTCCCTGAAAAACGTAAACACAGAGATGATGAAATATCCTGTTCCTTTGTGAAAAACAAAACCCCTCAGCTCGTTTTCCTTCCAGACTCAAGAGCGGACAATGGTGATATAACCCAGGCCTATATACGGGCAGTGGGGCTAGAGGATAGTGGTGCAGGTAAAAGAGGTTGAGGAGGCATTGGATGTGAGTTTGAATCCCTACCCTGAATGTGACTGGGAAAGTTAATGTCTCCTCAATCTTCTTATCTGTGAAATGAAGACAATGATAGTATCTCTCTTGGGCATGTGAAGCGTAAACCAGATAAATTAGGTCAAGTGCCTAGTATATAATAGGTGTGCTTACACAACAGTAAGTTTCTTTCGGAAACTAAGACCTAGATTCCAGGACCTGGAACTGGAGAACAAGATTGATGAGGTTAAATGAACTAGCTGTCCCTAAGGTTAATTTCAGGGTGTAAAGAAGAATGGAGAGCAAAGTGATGATTTATTTTTCTCACATTTTGCCCATGAACTCTGTGAGTCAAAAAGTGTTTAAGTATTTTAAAACTTCATTCTTAAAAAAGTGATCAGAAGTACATTAAAATGTTGTATAACATACTCATGTATTATTATTTCCTCTGTTATTAAAATACAGGAATAAGGGAAATTGGAAAGCCAGGTATAAAGAGAGATAATGTAAACACTTATGGTAAATCAGATAGCTGCATAATGTTATAGAATATTTTATGACAGAAAATTCATAAAGTGTTAAGTAAAAAAAGGATACAAAACAATATAGTATATGGTATGACTATATATGTATAGAAAAAAAAGGCTAGGATAGGCCAGTCGTGGTGGCTCACACCTGTAATCCCAGCCCTTTAGGAGACTGAGGTGGGCAGATCACCTGAGGTCAAGAGTTTGAGACCAGCCTGGCCAATGTGGCGAAACCCCGTCTCTACTGAAAAAACAAAAATTAGCTGGTGTGGTGGCACATGCCTATAATCCCGGCTACTCAGGAGGCTGAAGCAGGAGAATGACGTGATCCCAGGAGGTGGAGGTTGCAGTGAGCCAAGATCTCGCCACTGCACTCCAGCCTGGGTAACAAAACCAGACTCGTCTCAAAAAAAAAAAAAAAAAAAAAAAAAAAAAAAAAAGCTTGGCTATTCAGCACAATGTTAAAAGTGGTTATTGCGGAATAGTGAGAGTTTTACTTTTCTTCCTAATATTTTTCTGTACTTTTCAAATACAATGAACATGTATTTATTTATATGATTGGGATGTGCCTTTTAAATCATATTGTTGAAAAATATGATGCAGAAAAATGCTTTGAAATGATAAGAATAAAAGAAAGATACAAAACTCTAAATCCAGAGGCGTATATATACCTATTAGTGGTTCTCTCTGGGTGCTGATTACAAATGTTATCTTCTTTATATTTGTTTTATTTTCTAATCCTTTCTCTGAAAAATGCATATATTTTAAGGAAAAATGAACCAATGCTATTTTCAAAATACAGCATCAATCCAAAAGCTTTTCCAACCTCATTCTCTTCCACTTTTAGGTGAAAGTATTGACCAATCTCCCTTCTTTTCACCTTTTGGGACCATCACGGGCTCATAATCTAATGGGAGATCACTCAAGAAACTGTTGAAATGATCCAGCCACATGATGATGGTGGTTTAAACAAATAACTGTTGATATTTATTGAGTATGATTTTATGTCAGTTACTCTGCTAAGTACATTTTTACATCCTCACCACCTACCTGATAACCAGGCAGGTACCATTACTTCCTCTATTTTAAGAGATACAGAGAAGTTAAAAGGTAGAATTAAGATGGCCGGGCATGGTGGCTCACGCCTGTAATTCCAACACTTTGGGAGGCCAAGGCGGGCGGATCACGAGGTCAGGAGATCGAGACCATGCTGGCTAACACGGTGAAACCCCGTCTCTACAAAAAATACAAAAAAGTTAGCCAGGTGTGGTGGCAGGCAACTGTAGTCCCAGCTACTGGGGAGGCTGAGGCAGGAGAATGGCGTGAACCTGGCAGACGAAGCTTGCAGTGAGCTGAGGTCGTACCACTGCACTCCAGCCTGGATGACAGAGCGAGACCCTGTCACACACACACACACACACAAGGTAGAATTAAGATTTGAACCTAGGAAGTCTGATACTAGGACTAATAAGGCTTATGTTTTAGGTTTGGGCAAGGGATGAATGGTGGTACTCGTCACTGAAAATAGGAAAATATAAGAGATGGCAGAAGTTTGGGGAATGAGAGGGAGGTGATGAGTTCATTTTATATGTTAGGTTAGAGTGAAGATCTCTATCCAAGAGGTACTTAATTATATGTGTCTGAAGATAAGGAATGATCTGGAGTTAAATTTGTGAACTGTGAGCATACAGATGATAATTCAATCTGTGGGCATGAACATTATTCATGAAGAATGTGGAGAGCTTGGGGAAGAAACAGATAAACCCAAGAATGCAAAGAGAACTGAGAAGGAGCAGTCAGAGAGGTAGGAGGAAAAGCAGAATAGTATATTTTAGGATGTTTTCGGAGTTTCATGAAAGTAGGGACTATATCAATCTGTTCACTCTTACCCATGTGAGGCCTAGCCCCATCACACACACACACAAATTAATATATGTTGAATAAATGCATAAATAAGTGATCAACAATATTAGTTGCTATAGACAGGAGAAGGAAGGGGTAAAAAGTGTCTACAGGATTTAGCAACATGGAGGTATTTGATGTTATTGCTGAGAAATCAGTAGAGATACGAAGGCAAAAGTCATACTGCAGATGTTTGAGGATGGATTAGAAGTGAGGAAATAAAAACAGGAATTGCAGATAACTCACAAGAAAGTATGACCAAAGAAAGAAGAGATAGTATCTGAGGAAAAGAGCGGCAAGGATTTTTTCTTTCTTAAGGCAGGGTGTTGCACGGTTGCCCAAGCTGGAGTGCAGTGGTACCATTACAACTCACTGCAGCCTCGACCTCCCAGGCTCAAGTAGTCCTCCCACCTAGCCTCCCAAGTAGCTGCGACTACAGGCGTGCGTCACTACGCCTAGCTAATTTTTTTTTTCTTTTTTGTAGAGGGGTGGGGAGGTCCTGCCATGTTGCCCAGGCTGGTCTGGAACTCCTGGGCTCAAGTGATCCTCCTGCCTTGGCCTCCCCAAATTATTTGGCCTCCCCAAATAATCCTCCTGGGATTATAGGTGTGAGCCACCAAACTCAGCCAATTTTTTAAAGTTTAGTTCTATACTCGTATATTTTCTCTACACTAACACTTTAGCATACCATAGGTTTAATTATCTTTCTTACATATATGGCTCCAAAATCTCTATCTCTAGCCTAGATCTATTCCCCAAATTTCATCACCAAATCGATAACTATACTGCTGGGTAATTCTGTATTTATGGCCCACCAAAGTTAAATCATAAGGAGATGGAGGAGGTTAGAAAAACCTGGTTACAGAGTTGGACGCAGTGGTTTACACCTATGATCCCAGCACTTCGGGAGGTTGAGGTGGGAGGATCACTTGAGCCCAAGAGTTTGAGGCTGCAGTGAGCCATGATCTGCCACTGCACTCCAGCCTGGGTGACAGAGTGAAACCATCTCTAAAAAAAGAAAGAGAAAGAGAGACAGGGGGAGACAGGGGGAGAAAGAGAGCCGGGGGTGGGGGGCGGAGAGAGAGAGAGAAACCTGGTTCAAGGTACAACTCATAGCAGATAGACATAGATTTTGTAAAGATGTCATTAGAAAAATCTTTAAGAGGCTGGCCATGGTGGCTCATGCCTGTGATCACAGCACTTTGGGAGGCCAAGGCAGGTAGATCACCTGAGGTCAGGACGTTGAACCCAGTCTGGCCAACATGGTGAAACCTTGACTCTACTAAAAATACAAAAATGAGCCAGGCATGGTGACACATGCCTGTAGTCTCAGGTACTAGGGAGGCTGAGGCAGGAGAATCACTTGAACCCGAGAGGAGGAGGTTGCAGTGAGCTGAGATTGTGCCGCTACACTCCAGCCTGGGCGATAAAGCGAGACTCCATCTCGGGAAAAAAAAAAAGAAAAAGAAAAAAGAAAACTTTTTAAGAGCTTTGATTCATACCTCTCTGCTGTTCAAAAACTTTCAACTTCTCATTGCCTAACATGTTTGAAAGCTATTCTTCCCCCAGTTTCCTTCATCTGTGTGCTCCTTTCTTTGCTTTTCTCATCAATAAAATGGAGGAAGATAGTAACCATAATATTGAACAATGAAATAAATTACGTGTAAGGCACTTAGAACTATGGCTGGCACATAGCATGGACTATGGAACTATTTTCTATAATTGTGACTATTTTAATAAATTGCACTGAGCTGCACAAACCAGAAATCTAGGGGTCATTCCTGATTTCCCTTTCCTTCAACTGCCACATCCAATCCATCTCCAGTTGTCAATTCTACCTTTAAAACCTCAAAGCCGTGGCTGGGCACTGTGGCTCACGCCTGTAATCCCAGCACTTTGGAGGCCGAGGTGGATGGATCACAAGGTCAGGAGTTCGTAACCTGCCTGGCCAAGATGGTGAAACCCCATCTCTACTAAAATTAGCTGGGCATTGTGGCGGGTGCCTGTAATCTCAGCTACTGGGGAGGCTGAGGTACAGAACTGCTTGAAC